TAAACTACAGGTGAAAATATAATTATTCGAAAACACAAAAAATATAGAGGTACAATTTCAATTTTGTTTTTCTGAAAAATGTTACCCAATATGTTCTCCCCCTTTAGATGCCTGAGAGCTCTGCACACATTATGGAGGAGGAGGTGGAGACCTTTGCCTTCCAGGCTGAAATTGCTCAGCTGATGTCCCTTATTATCAACACTTTCTACTCAAATAAAGAGATCTTCCTTAGGGAGCTCATCTCCAACTCCTCAGATGTAAGGGAAATAAACACTTCCGCATCATGTTTTCCTTTTTTTTTTAATGTAAAACAAGCCCTTATATTTTTTGCCAAAAAAAAGTATTTTAATTGAGTTATCTATTCTCGGCAGGCCTTGGATAAAATCAGATATGAAAGCTTGACGGATCCCACCAAACTTGAGTCCTGCAAGGACCTGAAGATTGAAATCAGGCCTGATCTGCATGCTCGCACCCTGACCCTCCTTGACACAGGTATCGGCATGACCAAAGCTGACCTGATCAACAACCTGGGCACAATCGCAAAGTCCGGCACCAAGGCTTTCATGGAGGCTCTGCAAGCTGGGGCTGATATCTCCATGATCGGTCAGTTTGGTGTGGGTTTTTACTCTGCCTACCTGGTAGCTGAGAAGGTGACAGTCATTACCAAGCACAACGATGACGAGCAGTATGTGTGGGAGTCTGCAGCTGGAGGCTCATTCACAGTCAGGCCTGATACAGGTATGTCTTAGTCCCCTCATTTACAGATCAATTGAATCAGTCATTTTAACCCTGTCTGCCACGGTTCTAATTTTGTTGTTGATTTTAGGAGAGCCAATTGGCAGAGGCACAAAAGTGATCCTTCACCTCAAGGAAGACCAGACAGAGTACTGCGAGGAGAAGCGCGTCAAAGAAGTTGTGAAGAAGCACTCACAGTTCATTGGCTATCCCATCACACTTTTTGTAAGTTTTTAATTACACAGTAAGAACAATTATTCAATCAATACTTGATAATAACCACACATTGACTGTGATAATGGCATGGCAAAGCAAAATGTAAATATGCCTTTGCATATTTAAGGTGGAGAAGACAAGAGAGAAGGAAGTAGACCTGGAGGAGGGAGAAAAGGAAGAGGAGGTTGAGAAGGAGGCTGCTGAGGACAAGGACAAACCTAAGATTGAGGACGTTGGCTCTGATGAGGATGAAGATACAAAGGATGGCAAGAACAAGAGGAAGAAGAAGGTCAAGGAGAAGTACATTGATGCCCAGGAGCTCAACAAGACCAAGCCTATCTGGACCCGTAACCCTGATGACATCACCAATGAAGAGTATGGCGAGTTCTACAAGAGTCTTACCAATGACTGGGAGGACCACCTGGCTGTGAAGGTAAGCTAAATCTTCTTGTGATGATCATTCTAAAACACATTTACCAACACCAGTTGCAATAATGTCATGCTAATTAATACATATCTACCCCCGCAGCATTTCTCAGTGGAAGGCCAGCTGGAGTTCCGCGCCTTGCTCTTTGTACCCAGAAGAGCTGCATTTGACCTCTTTGAAAACAAGAGAAAGAGAAACAACATCAAGCTTTATGTGCGCAGGGTCTTCATCATGGACAACTGTGAAGAACTGATCCCAGAATACCTCAGTAAGTAACAATGAAGTAACACATAAATCTTGACGCATTCTCTCAAAATTTATAGTTATTAGTAATTGTTTTTGGAACTCAACTCCTGGCTTTGGGAAGCTGACCAGTTTATTTTCCCTACTCAGATTTCATCAAGGGTGTGGTGGACTCTGAGGACCTGCCACTGAACATCTCCAGAGAGATGCTGCAGCAGAGCAAGATCCTGAAGGTCATCCGCAAGAACCTGGTCAAGAAGTGCATGGAGCTTTTCTCAGAACTGGCTGAGGACAAGGACAACTACAAGAAGTTCTATGAGCAGTTCTCCAAGAACATCAAGGTAGGTTCATCCATCTGAATTTCTTCAACTCTAAAACTTCAGAAAAAATGTCTGATACCAATCATCTAGCATGGATTTTAATACCACAAAATGACACGCTGTTTTTTTATGTTTAGCTTGGAATCCATGAAGACTCCCAGAACAGGAAGAAACTGTCTGAGCTGCTCCGCTACTACACCTCAGCCTCTGGAGATGAAATGGTTTCCCTCAAGGACTATGTCTCTCGTATGAAGGATAACCAGAAGCACATCTACTACATCACTGGTAAGTTATTCAGTGTGGTTTATTTTCCTTTGTTTTCAAGTATTCCCCAGTAGTTTAAGTTCATTAAACACCATATTGAAATAACTTTAACAGGTGAGACCAAAGACCAGGTTGCCAACTCTGCCTTTGTGGAGCGCCTTCGCAAAGCTGGCCTGGAGGTCATCTACATGATTGAGCCCATCGATGAGTACTGTGTCCAGCAGCTGAAGGAGTACGATGGCAAGAACTTGGTTTCAGTAACCAAGGAAGGCCTGGAGCTGCCTGAGGATGAGGAGGAGAAGAAGAAGCAGGAAGAGCTCAAGACTAAGTTTGAGGACCTCTGCAAGATCATGAAGGACATCCTTGACAAGAAGATTGAAAAGGTAATTTTTCTCCTTCAGAAAATGATACAGTTATTATAGTTAACATTGTTAGGGATGAGAAGTTGGCTTGACTGTGTTCAAACATACTAAAAATACTGAATTTCTATCCTGACAGGTTGTAGTTTCGAACCGTTTGGTTGCTTCCCCTTGCTGCATTGTCACCAGCACCTATGGATGGACGGCAAACATGGAGAGGATCATGAAGTCTCAGGCACTGAGAGACAACTCCACCTTGGGCTACATGACTGCAAAGAAGCACCTTGAGATTAATCCCTCGCATCCAATCATTGAGACCTTGAGGGAGAAGGCAGAGGCTGACAAGAACGACAAAGCTGTGAAGGACCTGGTCATTCTCCTGTTCGAGACCGCTCTGCTCTCCTCAGGATTCACACTGGAAGACCCACAGACACATGCTAACCGCATCTACAGAATGATCAAACTTGGTCTTGGTATGTATATCTTTTCCTTTAAACATTCAGGTAGTAGTTAGGTTATTATACATTAATTGAGGAATTTGTTTTTTAATGGCTGTATATCTATACACAGGAATTGATGATGATGATTCTGCAGTTGAAGACATAATTCAGCCCACTGATGAAGATATGCCAGTCTTGGAAGGCGACGATGACACATCAAGAATGGAGGAAGTTGACTAAATTATTTACTAGACTTTTTCTGGCTTTCATTTTTATTTTTGTAATTTATGTTCCTAATTTAAATGTACATTATTTTTTAGCAGAATTTCTGTTAGTAAACAATGTGCTAGTCAGAAAAAGTTGATGGAATTAATACAGACCACAGTGGCTTTAGTTTATATTGTATCAGCCACTTGTAAAACTTCTGACAATCACTAAGAGTATTATTAAGTCACTGGGGGTTTGACTTGTATCTCTTTTGTAACATTTTTTATGAAAAGCAATCAAATTTGTAATAAAATATATTTTAAAAATGACACCTGTCACTTTTTATTGATCTACTGCACTTTATTTTATCACTTGTTCTTGCTTCCTACAAACAATAATACTGAAAGGTGAAAAGTTGTATTAGAGAAGCGCATTATACAGCTGGCTTACATTTATCAATTACATCGTTTGATTTATCATGTATTCTGGAGTTTTCAGTGAATACAGCATGGTTCATTTTAGTTTCTGCTCTCACATGCCTTACTCATTAGGCTCAGCGACCCCTCCCTTAATCCCGCCTCCTTCTGCCAAGAAAGGCAGAGAGGCATGTACACGCACCATGATTGACAGGCCACCGGGCCAGTGAGTGGCCACCACCGAGCAAGAGGATTCCAGACGGTTCTGGAAGCTTGTGTCAGGAGGATTTCTCGAATGGTCATAGAGGGTATAAAAACCGCACCGTTACACCAGTTTCCGTAGGAGCATTAGCAGTCAACGAACCTGTGAATAAGGAAGGATCTCTACACATCTTCCTCAGGAGGTTTGGGCACACTGCAAACCAAGGTAAATACATTAACAGCCTTACCACAGACATTTGGGATACGTAAATATTACACTCCCTGAAATTCAGATTTAATAGTACTAAATGTTAGCTTATTTGACATTAATTTATAAACAAAGCTGACATTTTTGTCATGTCTGGATAAAAAGTGAAGCTAAAGTGAAGAAAGGGTGAAGTCTAGTTACAGCACTTGGTCTTTAAAAACTGATTAAAAAAGTAATAATATCTGCTCTGAGAATATTAATGTCAGCTTCATAAACGGTAATAAGAATTTGATTCCTATTGTGCCTCATTTCAGAATTCAAACCTGCGGGACAGTAGTCACATGGCAGGATGCTTTAGTGATGCATTTGGGAGGAAGGTGTTATGTTAAGCAGGGGTTTAACTGTTTGAACCTTAATCAAATTTCCTGTGTTAAAATTTCTGCAAGATTTTTGGGCCACCTTATCCTTGTACCAGGTTTTAATTCAGTGCAAAATCAGTAGGTACAGAGTGTGCATTCTTATAATCTCGTCAGCTGTATGAGAGGCGGAGCTTTTGATTCCTATGGAAACTGCTAGAGAGTTCTTCTTGCCTCCTCGTACCTTCTAGAAACCTGCACTTCACCTGGGAAACCAGCAGGTGGAGTCATTTCTGCTGACACGGATATGCAATTCAAGCCACGTGTTAATCTCTGATTAGCCAATAACCAAGCAGAGATTAAATTCACAGTCCAAGAAGGGGGAAAAAAACGGTCCTTGTACCTTTTTAATACAAAATTATGAAAGTAAGCAAGAAAGAAACCCAGGAAAGTCACTATATACTACACATCTACAGAGAATCTGCTTTCGTTTGACTGCTGTTAATTCCTTAATGTAACATCGAGGCTACTTAATAAGGATAAGCTGTAACTGCAACATCTTACATAAGAAGGATTGGCAGTGTTTTTCAAGTGTACATTGCTGGGATGCAAACATTTAGTGTCATAAAAAGAGTATTTTATATTGTGTTCCAGTCACTTTAGTCAATGTGTTTTCTAAAAAACAATATTTGTTCTCCGTCTTCACTCAGATGCCTGAAATGCATGACCAACCAATGGAGGAGGAGGCAGAGACCTTCGCATTCCAGGCTGAGATTGCTCAGCTTATGTCCCTGATCATCAACACTTTCTATTCCAACAAAGAGATCTTCCTTAGGGAACTTATTTCCAACTCCTCAGATGTAGGTTTTCAATATTAGTCTGTGTTGCTGTGTTTATTATTTAAAAAAATTAATTAATTAAATTACATGCTTTTTTTCCCTTAAGAAATTGAATTATATTATTATCAATACAGAATAAATTCTGGAATTTGTTTAAACAATTAACATTTTGTTTTGCTCTGTCAGGCACTGGACAAAATCCGCTATGAGAGTCTCACAGATCCTTCCAAGCTGGAAACTGGCAAAGACCTCAAAATTGAGATCATTCCCAACAAAGAGGAGCGTACTCTAACCCTAGTTGACACAGGTATTGGCATGACCAAAGCCGACCTGATCAACAACTTGGGCACAATTGCAAAGTCCGGCACCAAAGCGTTCATGGAGGCTCTGCAGGCTGGAGCTGACATTTCCATGATCGGTCAGTTCGGTGTGGGTTTCTACTCTGCCTACCTGGTAGCCGAGAAGGTGACAGTCATTACCAAGCACAACGATGACGAGCAGTACGCCTGGGAATCATCTGCTGGTGGCTCATTCACAGTTAAAGTAGACAACTGTAAGTGATATAACCCCGAATTTGAAGTGAATTATTAATCATTTAACCCAGTGGTTATAAAGTATACTGACCTATAGTCTTCCTCTACAGCTGAACCACTGGGACGTGGAACTAAAGTGATCCTGCACCTCAAAGAAGACCAGACAGAATACCTTGAAGAGCGAAGGGTCAAAGAGATTGTTAAGAAGCACTCACAGTTCATTGGCTACCCTATTACGCTATTTGTAAGTACTTAAGTCATATTTAATGATCCCATAGAAAAATTAAATTTGTAACTATTGCAGATAGCTTCTGCACTTTAGACTTCTGAGAAAGTTGCTCAATTAATCTCAGAAACACTGATATTATAAAATAGTGACTCCCTAAGGCCAGGGCTGGATTGGGACAAAAAATTGGCCCGGGCATTTTGACTACAGACCGGCCCACCAGGTATTATAGGGAAAAACCATAAAGCCTTTGAATGAAAACAAACGCTGTTGTGACAGTGATGTACACAGTCTTGTTGGTATATGTATGATTTCAATACGTTGTACATCAGATAAAAACTTTGGTTGTAAGATTCAGATAATTATTTAATAAAAGCTAGATATTTTAAATGAGAATAAGAAAGAAAAGTATTTCTTTGTGCCCCCCTCTCCCTGTTAATGCCCCACTACCTGGCCCCCCTGGCAAAGCTTTGCTAGACCCGCCCCTGCACAGTAACTTCAACTCATCCATGTCACCTAAAAGGTAAACCTGTTTCTCCATCACCTGTTCAGCTCTGATGATTCAGTAAGGACATCTCCTGGTTTCAACTTCATGCTTCCCTCTCCCCAGATAACCAAACTGACATAAGGACCAGCAGCTTTTACAGCTGTGGCTACAGCAAACATCAGCTGATACTAGAAATTAATATTAAATAAATTCTAACAACAGCTGATCAAGCTTAAACGTGCTGCTGTTGTTTAGTGCGACATCTGCTGGTTTCCTCTTTCTGGCGCAAAGTGGGCGATAAACAAGCAAGAGAGCCGATCAGCTGATCATTGATCAGTTTCACGATTGAATGAGAGAAGAAGGCTACGTTCACACTGCAGGCGAAAGCGCATCAAATCCGATTTTTTTTTTTTTTTTTTTTTTTTTTTGACCCTATGCGACCCATATCCAATCATGGTATGACAGTGTGAACGGCACAAATCCGATATTTTCAAATCCGATCTGGGTCACTTTCATATGTGGTACTGAATCCGATACACATCCGATGTTTCAGAAAGCGACTGCTGTGTGAACGGTCAAGTCACATTAAATCCGTCTTTTACGTCACTGACACAAGACAGACGCCAATTATCAGCGCCGGAGAAGCGCCCGATAAGACATCGCGAACGCTTCCTGGCCATCCGGTGAAACTGCTGGGAAGACAACGTTGGAGAAACGTGAACATTTTATTTGTACTGCATAATCTTCAGATTCTGACAGAAATCTGCAACTATCCCTTGAAGCACCGCTCCTCTAAAACAGCAATAAGGATAATGATTAAGTTATTTACATTATTATGGAAATAACAAAATAACTTAAAGCAAAAATTGGGAAACATGAAGTCCGAAGTCTTTATATTAACGGCCATCAGTCAAACGATATTGTTGCTCTGTGTCTAAACAGAGCGCGTTGTGTGTGACATCTTCTTTTGCGCATGCGGGCCACTTTGAACGTTTACACTAGAGCACGTTTTCTGTCGCATTTTATTTGTAGTGTGAACGAGCAGACAAAAAAATCGGATTTGATCAAAAAATCGGAATTGAGCATTAAGACCTGCAGTGTGAAGGTAGCTGAAGAGACAGCTGACAGCGTAAAGACAGAAAAACTCCAGCTTTGTGTCTTTTTCCATTCTAGCTGAAGTACGGGACAAACTGTGTTCCTTTTCAGCTCAATACGAAACACGTGATATTTTCTCTGAATACGGGACAATTCCATTTTTCAGGGGACGGTTGGCAACTCTACTAACTAACCTTATGAATAGAATAAAGTTCACTATCAGTAACATAGCACCCACTCAGCTGTAGAAACTCCGTCATGCTAGCTAGTACGCAGTACAAGTTATTGTAACTGACGGTAAAAACTCAGCACAACGAAAATAAACTACACCTAAACTTGGATTATATCTGACCCAGATAGACTGCAGGTCATAACTTCTTACCTGAAGTTCAGTTCACCTGACACTCGGACGGGCGGCCGCCTCGGGTCTCTGCTCCTCCTGCCTCCCCTTTCCCTCATCCACCTGGCCTCTTGTGGCAACTCCGCCATAGCCACCACCAAACAACTGAGTTATTTTTACACATCTGCCAGCATCTGGCCAATCCATCACCTTTCATTGTTTATACTGTTATTTAAAAAAAAAAATAAAAAAAAATCATCGGCCCATAAAAACGAAAAATCACCATCGGCCCACCAAGCAAATGCCCTGTATGCCTGATGGCCTGTCCAGCTATGCCTAAGGCTAAGGTGTAGGGAAATTCTTTAGTGTGTGACCAAATGTATTTTCCTTCAGGTGGAGAAAGAGAGGGACAAGGAGGTGAGTGACGACGAGGCAGAGGAGGAGAAAGAGAAGGAGGAGAAGGAGAAAGATGAGGAGAAGGATGAGGACAAACCTGAGATTGAGGATGTTGGATCAGATGAAGAACATGACCATGACAAGTCAGACAAAAAGAAGAAGAAGAAGAAGATCAAGGAAAAGTACATTGACCAGGAAGAATTGAACAAGACCAAACCCCTGTGGACCCGAAACCCAGATGACATCACGAATGAGGAATATGGAGAGTTCTACAAGAGTCTCACCAATGACTGGGAGGACCACTTGGCTGTCAAGGTTGGGCTTTTGAGATGTTATTTTAAAAATACCTAAAAATGTAGCAGTGCTTTATAGGAGGAAAATTATGTCTGATATAATGTAGTCCAATATATAATCACTTTAATTTTTTATTTTTATTTTTTTGCCTAACAGCACTTCTCAGTAGAGGGTCAGCTTGAATTCCGTGCCCTGCTCTTCGTGCCTCGGCGTGCTCCTTTCGACCTCTTTGAGAACAAGAAGAAGAAGAACAACATCAAGCTGTACGTGCGCAGAGTCTTCATCATGGACAACTGCGAGGAGCTCATCCCAGAGTATCTCAGTGAGTATTAAAGTGTGGATTACAATTTCCCTAACAATAATAGAATTATCATAATGAAAATGACACAATGGAATCTTTAGAGTTTTAACAGTTTCCTTTCTGCTTCCTATCAGATTTCATCAAGGGTGTGGTGGACTCTGAGGACCTGCCACTGAACATCTCCAGAGAGATGCTGCAGCAGAGCAAGATCCTGAAGGTCATCCGCAAGAACCTGGTCAAGAAGTGCCTGGAGCTTTTCACAGAACTGGCTGAGGACAAGGACAACTACAAGAAGTACTACGAGCAGTTCTCCAAGAACATCAAGGTCAGTATCCACAGCCTTGACTGAGTGAGGTGCAAGGTTACCAGATCTTGTCTTTAATTCTTTTGCTTGAATAATTTAGCTCTAGCAGTAGGAATATTATAAAGTAGCTTAACAACAATTGAATGCAGCCAGTGGTAGCTGGTAGTGCCTGCAATTTTTTTTTTTTTGCACATTCAGCTGAATAAATCTGCACTGTTGATAACAGTTGACTGTTTTCCTTATTACAGCTTGGCATCCATGAGGACTCCCAGAACAGGAAGAAGCTTTCTGAGCTTCTGCGGTACTACACATCAGCCTCTGGAGATGAGATGGTGTCCCTGAAGGACTATGTCACACGTATGAAGGACAACCAGAAACACATCTACTACATCACTGGTGAGGACACTTTTAAAACTGCCAATCAAAAGCATGCGTTCGGCAAACAAAACTTGTCTCATGTGGGCAATATGGCATGAATGAACAACATTATCATGCCTGCATTTCAGGTGAGACCAAAGACCAGGTTGCCAACTCTGCCTTTGTGGAGCGTCTTCGCAAAGCTGGCCTGGAGGTCATCTACATGATTGAGCCCATCGACGAGTACTGTGTCCAGCAGCTGAAGGAGTTTGAGGGCAAGAACTTGGTTTCAGTAACCAAGGAAGGCCTGGAGCTGCCTGAGGATGAGGAGGAGAAGAAGAAGCAGGAGGAGAAGAAATCTCAGTTTGAGAACCTATGCAAAATCATGAAGGATATCTTGGAGAAGAAGGTTGAAAAGGTAAGCTGATGAAACCAAATGACAATATAACAACGGAATTTGTTTTATTGTTCAACTGATTGATACCGGTGGCTTTTGTTTTCCTCTGCAGGTCACAGTCTCCAACCGCCTAGTTTCTTCCCCTTGCTGCATTGTCACCAGCACATATGGATGGACGGCCAACATGGAGAGGATCATGAAGGCTCAGGCGCTGAGGGATAACTCCACCATGGGATACATGGCAGCAAAGAAGCACCTTGAGATCAATCCTGACCACCCAATCATGGAGACCTTGAGGCAGAAGGCAGAGGCCGATAAGAATGACAAGTCTGTGAAAGATCTGGTCATCCTTCTTTTCGAGACCGCCCTGCTCTCCTCAGGATTCACACTGGATGACCCACAGACCCACTCCAACCGCATCTACAGAATGATCAAACTTGGTCTTGGTGAGTATCTGTTAAATCTTGTATCTTTTGGTGGTATGTTTGCCAGTAAACGAGTTAACCCCGCTTTGCTGACTGATCTGCTCCTATTTTCCTTCCAGGTATTGATGAAGATGATGTGACATCTGACGATAACACCTCTGCACCCACTGAGGACATGCCCCCTCTTGAAGGGGAAGATGATGACACATCTAGGATGGAAGAGGTGGACTAATCAGCTTCCATTTCCTGTTTAGATTTAAAAAAAAAAAAAAAAACAAAGGTAAAAAAAAAAAAATTAATGTTAAATGTTGTAAATGAGCCTGGAATGTCTGTTCCTAAACACTTTTGATGACCATCGTAACTTTATTTCCACTTGCGTTGACCACATGCAGTTCAGTCATTCCTTTAGATGTTTAGAGTTTTCAGATTGTTATTTTTGTTTTTGTATTGAGTTGTATTGATGCATTTGTTCTTTTTGTATTTGACATTCCAAAGTTTGTTCTTTATTGTAAATATAACAAAACACGATACTGTTATTTGAAACGGTGCAAAAACCATTAATAAAGGTTAACCATGTTAAGCTGTTTGGTCATTGTTACTGATGAACGAACACAAGTCTCGTGTTTTATGTATAGTATGCTGCATTTTTAGATTGGACAGGTGGGTTAACCTGTCCACTATATATATATA